GATCCAACCTCCTCATTTTACAGATGAGGAAACTGAGGCACAGAGTGGGTGAGTGGCTTGTGACTGTAGGCAAGTCACTTAATCTTTCTTAGCCTCAGTTTCCTCAAATGTAAAATGGAGATTATAACAGTTCTTAGTTCACAGGGTTGTGGTGAGGATCAAATGAAATAGCTCTTCACAAACCTTAAAACCACATACAAATGGTGGCTATCATTATTAATAATGCCATGCAGTGAATGGTCAGTGGGTAAGTTCATTTCTGTCTTCCACAAGACAGAGAGTTCTTACCTCTCCTGCCTCCTCCAACTACTCTGATTTTGATAGTGTTGGGCACTTCCCAGCAAAGAAACTCTCTCTACCAATGCAGATGGAGAATTGGTTTTCTTAGAGTTTCCTGGGGCACTGAGAGGAGATTGGGTTTATGTAAATGTGTTGGGTGAGGGACTCGGATTGCAGGGCAAAGGATAGAGAAAAGCTAAGAATATTGGGTAGAAGAAACAGAGAAGATAGAGTCCAAATAAAGAAATTAGTGCTGTCTAAAGGCAGAAAAGCGTTTGCCACTACTAGAGGCCTTTAAATTAAATTGATACTGGATGACCATTTACTGGGAAGGTTGTAGAAGGGTCAAGGTGTAGCTAGGTGGCACCATAGTGGATAGAATACCAAGTCTAGAGTCAGGAAGACTCATCTTCCTGAGTTCACATCTGGCCTCAGACACTTACTAGCTGTGTGACCCTGGGCAAGTCACTTAACCCTGTTGGCCTCAGTTTCCTCATCTGTAAAATGAGCTGGAGAAGGAAATGGCAAACTGCTCCCGTATCTTTGCCAAGAAAACCCCAGATGGGGTCACGAAGAGGAAGACATGACTAAAAAGGTCTCAACAACAAAACAAGAAACTTGAAGCCTTTCTAGCCCAGTCAGCTCATTGTAGACTTGAGGAAAGTGAGATGGAGAGCAGTGAAGGGCCTTGCTTAAAGTCACGCAGATAACAGAAGGCAATGGCAGGATTGGAACTCAGGCCCTCTGACTGCAGATCCTCTCCTCTTTCCCTTACGTGGCTGTTCATGTATAAATTGAACTAGCTGACTTATGGTGCTTATCACAATTGCCTAATGAATGGTTATTGACTTAAAGGGACTCTTGCCAAGCTGAGATTCTGCGATTCTGTCCGGAGTAACTGGCAGCTGGGCCTCCTACCATTAGGAGAATGACTACAGCAGTTCATTCCCAGGCCATTCTCCTGAGGCCGACTCTGGTCCCTGAAGGCCTCCTTTGAGCTTTCCAGTGTCTGGCACGAGACAGCAGATTAGCAGAGCCAGACAGCTGGCCGACCAGTGGATAGATAGATACCCATGGACAATATGACAGTGAGCTCTTATTACTGCTGTGGTATCATGGCATGAAATGGAATCCCAAGGAGCTCTCAGCTTCCTGAGCAGATGATGAAACTGAACTCACTTTGAACTTGTTAATGGCAGCCCATTGAAAAGATCCCAGAACTAGTCAACTGACCTTGCTCCTTTCATTTGAGGGATTTGACTTAGGTTTGAAACAAATGTTGATTAATTTAATGCCCCTCTGAGGGTAAAGAAAGGATTAGAGGCTCATAGAATTGGAATGAAACTTAAAGGCCAACAAATCCAGATCCCTCATATTACCACTGTGGAGCTGAGGCCCAGAGAGGTTGTGACTTACCCAGGGTCACATAGCTAATAAGTAACCAAAGTGCCTATTATCTAGTCCAGTACTCTTTCCATGACACCAGGCTACCTAGAACTGTGTCCAAGATGGTCCCAAATTATGATGTTCTGTTCTCTAAACTCCGGGTGTGTGTGTGTGTGTCTGTCTCTGTCTCCCTCTCTGTTCTCTAAACTCTGTCTCTGTCTGTCTCCCTTCCCTCTCTTTCTTTCCCTCTCTCCCTCCCTCCCTCTCTCTCCTCTCTTTCTCTCTCTCTCTCCCTCTCTCCTCTCTCTGTCTCTCTCTCTGTGTCTTTCTCTATATAATGAGAAGTATAGAGTTTAAAGTATAGAAATATATATATATATATATATATATATATATATAAACTCTGTCTCTGTCTGACTATATATGTATAAACTCTCTGTCTCTCTTTGACTCTTTCTACATATAGATTGATTGATATATTGATAATTGATAGTTACCCATATTTTAATGGTAATTGTAGTAATGGATAAGACAGTAATGAGGAGTAGACAAGTAATGGAGAGACAGAGACAAAGAGACAGAAACAGAGAGAATTTGGGGGAGAGATGGAGGGAGGGAGGGAAAGAGAGAGAGGAGAGAGAGAGAGAGAGAGAGAGAGAGAGAGAGACAGACAGACAGACAGACAGAGACAGAGACAGAGAGATAGAGAGAGATGGAGGAGAGAGAGACAGAGAGAGAGAGAGAGAGAGAGAGAGAGAGAGAGAGAGAGAGAGAGAGAGAGAGAGAGAGAGAATAATAGGCAGTAGTGTTCAAAGTGTTTTTACCTTTGTCCCTACTTCGATGTCACAAACAATACCACCAATGAGCAGTTTTGCAGGAGCCCTTCAGTTGGAGAAGGCTTTATGTTTTTTCCTCTCAAGCTGTCACAGCCTGAAAGGATGCTGGAAAGTGGTGGGGGGCTGTGGAGGGGAGGATGAACGGCGGTTTCTGTGTTCATTCCCACCAGAGACAAACAACTTTCCTGATAACATTACCATAGACCACAGAGAACTGACCTTAAACTGCCAAACTCATTTCACTTAAGATATCAAATGAATTAAGGAGTCAGACACTTGAAGAGGGTGAGTCACAGTTCTTTACTGGTCCATACATAGGCTCAGCACCAGAGGGATAATGAAAGAGAGAGGAGAGGGATGGTTGGGAGTGGGAAAGGTGTCCAGAAGGAGAATGCACAATTACTCATGGTTTTCTTTATTTAAAAAAAAGTATAAAAATAGCTAGAATTCTCTCCTTCTCCACCCCCAAAAAGGCAAAGGAAATATTTCAGGTATAAAATATATGTACTTTCTTCCTTGAACCTCCACAGTCACCTCTGTAAGCTTTTAAACATCAGCAGATTCTGTTGGGATGATGAACAATTCAAAGGAGTGCACCGTTGATCACAACCTCTCCTCTGACACTTTTAAATATATTAAATCCATACTTAGAATAGGGGCAAGTGCATAAAGGACAGAAGCATAGCTGAGAGTGGTGAGGGACAGGACCAAAGAATCCTAAAGTCAAATACCTCCTTTATTGTCTCTTTTCTCCTTGTTTCTGTCTCTGTTTCTCTGTCTCCAGCTCTCTCTTTCCCTCCTCTGTCTCTCTCTGTCTGTCTCTGTCTCTGTCTCTCTCTCCCTCCTCTTTGTCTCTCTCTATTTCTGTGTCACTGTCTCTCTTTCTGTCTCTACCGGTCTGTCTTTCACACTTCTCATTCACCAACTGACCAGTCTGTTAAGTATAATAGATATTGGGACAAAGAATTTTTGTTCTTAATAGAATAAATAAATTGAACTATGTTAGTAAAAAAAAAAGTCTGCTTTTTAACAACAAAAAAGAGGGATCAGGAGCGAGATACCTCTCTCCTCCCCAGTTAGGGGACAGTTCTGTCTTGTATAAGACAGAATTCATCCTGTATAAGCTGAAGCATCTCGGCTTAAGGTATTCAGGTGACATCAGTTCTGCTTTTGCTTTCTTTATTTTTTGCAATCCAGTGGGTATAGTATTTCATCTGAAGAACACAGAGCAACCCACAGACAAAGGAGTTTTTCCCTTCAAAAAACATTCAGGGACAATCACTCCTCCACGGTGATTGTCACCTGGAGTGTAACTGCACAACCAAAGACAGTTTCTGAGGGACAGATGGCCTCTATGGTTGAAGGGAAAGGGGCCAGGGGAAGTAATAAATGAATACTTTGTTCTCTATTTAAGAAGGTCAATGGGTACTGCAAATGAAACCCCAGAACAGTTTGAAAAATACCTTTTACTTTTTCCAAGCTGTGAATCTCCTTTTACTTGAGATGAATTCTCACAAATGTTTCCTTCAACTGATTCTTCTTATCTGAAGTTATCTTCTATCTACTCTGTGTGTATCTAATATGTATCTCTTTTAAAAAAATGTTGTCTCCCTCTTTAGAATATAAGCCCATTGAAGGAAAGATAAGGGCAAGGACTGGGTCTTTCTCTTCCCTTCCTTTCTCCCTCCCTCCCTCCCTCTTTCCTTTCCTTCTTTCCTTCCTTTCCTTCTTTCCTTCCTTTCCTTCTTCTCTTTCTTTCTTCCTTTCTCTCTTTCTTTCTTTCTCTCTTTCTTTCTTTCTTTCTTTCTTTCTTTCTTTCTTTCTTTCTTTCTTTCTTCTTTTCTCTCTCTCTTCTCTCTTCTTTTCTTTCTTTCTTTCTTTCTTTCTTTCTCTTTCTTTCTTTCTTCTTTCTTTCTTCCTCTTCTTCCTTCCTTCTTCCTTCCTTCCTCCTTCCTTCCTTCTCTTCCTTCTTCCTTCTTTTTCTTTCTTTCTTTCTTTCTTTCTTTCTTCTTTCTTTCTTTCTCTTTCTTTCTTCTTTCTTTCTCTCTTCTCCTCTTTCCTTCCTTCCTTCCTTCCTTCCTTCCTTCCTTCCTTCCTCCTTCCTTCCTTCCTTCCTCCTTTCCTTCCTCTTTCTTTCTTTCTTTCTTTCTTCTTTCTTTCTTTCTCTCTTCTTCTTTTTTCTTTCTTTCTTTCTTCTTTCTCTTCTTCTTCTTTCTTTCTTTCTTCTTCTTCCTTCCTTCCTTCCTTCCTTCCTTCCTTCCTTCCTTCCTTTCTTTCTCTCTCTCTCTCTCTCTCTCTCTCTCTCTCTCTCTCTCTCTTTCTTTCTTTCTTCTTTCTTTCTTTTTTTCTTCTTTCTTCTTCTTTCTTTCTTTCTTTCTTTCTTTCTTTCTTTTCTTTCTTTCTTTCTTTCTTCTTTCTTTCTTTTTTCTTTCTTTCTTTCTTTCTTTCTTTCTTTCTTTCTTTTTCTTTCTTTCCTCTGTATCCCCAACAAAGAACAGGGCTTGGAATTTAATAAACTCTCAATAACTGTTTGTTGATCAATTTATGGATTGATATCAAATCTAAGAATGATTTTGAGAAACATTACATTTTCCTTGCTAAAAGGAGTAGACACAATTTGATTTCCCTATGATAATGGCATCTTGAAATAACTGGTTGACCGAGATCCCACTCATTGTTTCATTTGGGTTCTAAGTCCCATCCAGGATGGGATTTGGCCAAACCGAATTGGCTGATGGTCTCTTCCAAGAACTTGCTCCCCCTCAGTGATCTGGGCAACTGAATTACCGGTACCAGAACCTGGCAGCAGCAGATGCAACACCAGGGAGGAAAAACAGCTTAAAAGCCTGCTGCTGGATGGGGCTGAGGAGCTGCCAATTTTTGTTTACTTCTTCCTGGGCAAGAAGATCGCAGCTGTTTCTTTCCGTAAAAGATGTGGGAAGATTTAATGACCTTACCCTGCAGTCTCCTCTCCTCCCAAATGTTCATGAAGCCCAACAGCTGGTTTAGAAAACACTGTCAGTCAGGATTTGAATAGTTTTACATAATCTCCCATGGAGGAGCCAATCCAAGCTCTTTGGTTGGCCAAGTGGCAACAAAAATCCCCTTTATGGACTCACGTTCGGCTCCCATAGCAATTTCTTTTGGCTATTTGTTGATTTTTGGGGGGTATAGCCTCAAATAAAAAAATTCAAGTGTGGAGAAAGAAAGAAAGAAAGAAAGGGTAGGGATGGCAATGGAAGCTTCTCGGAAGTGGGCATTATTTCATTTTTGGAGTTGTATCCTCAGCACCAGACACAGTTCCTGGCACATAATAGTAGGTAATTATTGATCCATTGATTCTTCCACAGCCCAGACTGTGAGGCAATCTTATTAGAAGCTGATAGTGAGAGAAATGTTATTATTATTTATTCATTGAAAACAATAAAAACCAGTTAAGAAAATTTTCTGAGCACAGCTTCTTTATTAATACTTCATTAATAATACTTTAATTAATAATAGCATTAATACTAATGATGTTGAAAAGTAACATTTAGATAAGGATAGTTAGGTGGCTAAGTGGATGGAGTACCAGGCCTGGAGTGCTGTCTTCCTGAGTTCAAATCCTGTTTCAGACACTAGCTGTGTGACTCCAGGCAAGTCACTTCACCCTTTTTACCTCAGTTTCCTCATCTGTAAAATGAGCTGGAAAAGGAGATCGCAAACCATTCCAATATCTTGGCCAAGAAAAGACCAGATGGCATCACAAAGAGTCAAACACAACTGAAACTCTTGAGCAACAACATTTAGCTAGCACTTTAAAATAATCAAAACCTACGTTACTTCCTTTGATTCTCAAAACAACTCTATGAAATATCTGCTATTATTGTCCCTATTTTACCCATACAAAAACTGAGGCTGAGAGATATTAAATAATTTGCCCAGGGTCACACAGCTAGTAAGTGTCCAAAACAGGATTTGAACTCAGGTCATCTTGACTCCAAATTAACCAGTCGTGGTAAGGACATGCCATATTGATCCATTTTCTGTCTCTGAATTTTCTGTCTAAAAACACTTCCTTAGCTACCACTCCACTTTAGGTATTGTGTTCCCTTATTAGAATATAAGGTCTTTGAGGGCAGAGACTCCTTTGCTTATTGTTGTATCCCCAGTGTTTAACATGGTGCCAGGCACAAAGTAAGTACTTTTTCCTTCTCTCCTTCCTTCCTTCCTTCCTTCCTTCCTTCCTTCCTTCCTTCCTTCCTTCCTTCCTTCCTTCCTTCCTTCCTTCCTTCCTTCCTTCCTTCCTTCCTTCCTTCCTTCCTTCCTTCCTTTCTTTCTTTCTTCTTTCTTTCTTTCTTTCTTTCTTTCTTCTTTCTTTCTTTCTTTCTTTCTTTCTTTCTTTCTTTCTTTCTCTCTTTCTCTCTTTCTCCTCTCTTTCCTTCCTTCCTTCCTTCCTTCCTTCCTTCCTTCCTTCCTTCCTTCCTTCCTTCCTTCCTTCCTTCCTTCCTTCCTTCCTTCCTTCACTTGAAGAGCAGCACTATCTCCACTACAATACCTCACTACAGAGTTCCCTCCTCCGCCCCCCACCCCAGTTGTCCCAATCAAGTGCATAACATCAAGTTGTTTGACACCTTGAGAATCAATGGGCTGTTGTTCAGTTGTGACCCCATTTGGGGTTTTCTTGGTACTGGATTTGTTTGCCATTTCCTTCTCTAGCTCGTTTTACAGATGAGGAAACTGAGACAAACAAGGTTAAGTGACATGATCAGGGTCACCTAGCTAGTAAGTATCTGAGGCCAGATTTGAACTCAGGAAGATGAGTCCTCCTGACTCTAGGCCCAGTGATCTATGCACTATGGCACCACCTAGCTGCCCCAAGAGTCAGTGAAGCATGGCAGATAATACAGTAACCCTGGAACTATGCAGGCCTGGATTTGAGTCCTGCTTCTTACACATACTAGCTGTGTGACCCTAAGCACATTACCTGGTCTCTCAGTGTTCTAGGCAGTGTTATAAGACAGTAAGGTACAGATCTACATTGGTAAAGCTTCCTAACCTAAGAGTTCCCTATATCAATGCAATCAAAGACCCAGACCTAATCATTTAAAGACTTAAGGTTTGTCCCTGTTCTCTTAGGATTACAGATTGGAAGCTTGAAAGAACCTTAGAGGCCAACACATATCAGAAGCTAAGTCAGACCCACAGACATTCAGCAGCTTTCCCAGGGTAATAGCCACTATATGTCAGAGGTAGGACTTGAACCCAGATCTTCTCATTATTTGATAAATTATAGTTCTAGCTTTTGCTGTGATCCAGGAGGATGAAGGAAAACCCAGTGGATTTGGAACCTGGAAGATGCAAATTTGAATATCAGCTTTGCTTTTTAACCCGTGGGACCTTGGGCCATTTGCTACCCCTCTGGGGGGCTCAGGTTCATCCTGAAAGGGTTGGACTCTGAGCCCTGACATAAACAGGCATTCTTCACCTGGGGCTGATGTCAAGGTGGCTAGAAACTGAATCACTGGCTACCTTAGTGGGAGTGCTCTGATTTTTGTTTTTCTTTTCTAAATCCAAAGATTATCTTTTCTGTATCTATAGATAATATATATATATATATATATATATATATATATATATATAAATCAGTATTTCTATACACAATTTACATATATATATATATATATACACATACATACATATAAATATATACACATATATAGACATACAGGTCTATAGTATACAAACTAGAGAACGAAATGCTAAACCACTTTGCCAAGAAAAACCCAAGACTCTTTTATCTACAGATATTTTGTGTATATCAATATCTCTATATAGAATTAATATCTATATACATATAAATATATACACATATATAGATATACAGGTCTATAGTTTAGAAACTGGAGAAGGAAATGGCAAACCACTTTTCTAAGAAAATCCCAAGACTCTTTTATCTATATCTTTAGATATTTTATGCATATCAATATCTCTATATAGAATTTATATATATATATATACACACATACACATATACACATATATAGGTCTATAGTACAGAAATTGCAGAAGGAAATGGCAAACCACATTGCCAAGAAAAACCCTACTATTTAACCTATATCTATAGATATTTTATACATATCAATATCTTTACATAGAAATCAATATAATATACAGATACAATTATGCATTTAAGTTTATACACATATTTAGATACTCACATTTCTATAGTATATAAACTAGAGAAGGAAATGGCAAACCACTCCAGTATCTTTGCCAAGAAAACTTCATGGACAATATGGTCTATGGTGTCATGAAGAGTCAGATAAGACTGAGTGACTCAGCAATAATAGTATATAAACATACATGTATATATGCATATACACATATGTTCATAAATGTACATGTATGCACAGAAATGTGATATATCTTGTGTGCATGTACTGTATACACACATATATGCATATGATTGTGCATGTGTGCACATGTGTATGTATATATACATATGTAATGCTTTATAATTCGCCTATTTCTTCATAATGACCTTGAAAAATATATTTTTTTGTTTATTTCTACTTAGTAAATAAGCAATGAGGCCTAGAAAAGTTAACTTACCTGCAGACAAACATCCAGTAATTGATGGAGATTCATAATTTGAACTCATGTCTCTTCACTCCAAATCCACATCCTCTCTAGGTCTTGGTTTCCTCATGTGTCCAATGAAGAGGCTGGACCAGATGACCTACAGGTCTGTTTTAGCTTTTAGATCTGCAATCCTGCTCCAATGATTGGATCTGGCACAATGTCAGTCCTTAAGGAAGAAAAAAACCCAAAAAAAACCTGCCTTAGTCTGTATCAGAGAAGAAAAACAGTTATGATGCCAATAAAATAGGAGAAAGGCTTTCTGTGCTGAAGAGATTATCCAGTTATATCATTAGCCCAATTCCCATTTGGCTCCAAAAACACGTCAGCCAGGACCTGAAATAACAGTCTTCAATAATATTTGGATTATAAGGAAAAAGAAAGAAAATAGGATTGTTCCTATGAAGGCAGCCAATGGCTCAGTTTCTAGCCAACCTGATATCAGCCCCAGGTGAAGAAGGCATGTTTATGTCACAGCTGAGGGCATTTTATTCTGCCCATCTCTTCTCCCCTCTCATCAGCTGTTGCTGGCATAAGGCTGATTATTGTCTATTTTAAATGTCTTTGACCTTATGAGCTATTCCTTATCCACGACCCCCACTATGACCTTCATTCATCGACCACAGATGCAACATATCTTCTGATGCTAACAAAAGACAGAGATTGCATGGCAGTAGGGTGGGTCTTGTAGTCAGGAAGATCTGGATTCAAATCCTGATCCTGATGCTTATAACTGCCCAGCCCTGGGCAAGTTATATAATCTCTGTGTCCTTCAGGAAACTCTCTAGAGCTTAATTACTAGTTCGTAGGTAGATTGTAATTTATAATGTTTGAAAGTTGTAATCATAGATCCTTTTCTTATTGACTCAACCACGTTTAACTTTTTTTGCTAGCAGGGGAAGTCAGCCAAAGTAGTAGGTTGAAGGGGCTTTCAAAAATGAAATTCTGAAAATTCAATACCTAAACAGGGTGTCTCAAAAGTCTTAGTGAACTTTTAAGTTTTTAAATCTTAAACAGCACTAAGACGTTTGGTACATTATATACATGTACATGTATGTTTGTATATGTGCATACGTGTGTACACGTAATGAAAAAAGGGAGCTATCTGAAGAGACATTGAGGATAACAAGTAACTTATAAACCAGTTCAGATTTTTAAAAGATACACACACATACTATATGTGTATTCATATATTTATGTGTGTGGGTATGTGCACATGTATGTATATACACACATACATGTATGTGTATGTATGTGTATACACACAAACACACACATCATATACATATCCACCCACACATATATAATACAACACACATACATGTATACATGTATATATATATATATATACATATACATACGCATGCACACACATATGTATTAGTAATTTCATTCATGTCCAAATCTCTGTGGCAGTATTTGGGGTTTTCCTGGCAAAGATATGCAGTGGTTTGCTGTTTCCTTCTTCAGCTCATTTGACAGATGAGAAAACTGAGGCAAACAGAGTTAAATCTCTTACCTGGGCTCCCACAGCCAGTAAGTGTCTGAGGCTAGATTTTAACCCAGGAAGATGAGTCTTCCTGACTGTAGGCCCTACACTTTTCCCACTGTGCCACTAAGCTGATGTGCATATATACATAAACACACAATGTATATATGTGTGCACATGTACACACGTGTGCATATATATGTATGTATATATGCACACATATGTACACACATATGGATGCTCCAAGTAAGAGGCAGATGATGAAGAATGGCTCTAGAGGAATAGGGTCAGGTATGTTAAAAGCTCATCATGACCTGAGACTTATAGTTGATGATAAAATTTGGAAAGAGACCTTTAAAGTTGTACTTGGGGGGAAAAGCCGTGGAATTAAAGAAGTAACAAGATGTCTGTTGAGGTGAATGAGATCATGAAGATAGACACCAGAGAAAAGAACTGAAATCTGTTCAATTCTTCTGATCCTTGTTTTTTCTACTGGGGAGAATACTATTGAAATAAAATGGTTAATAGTGTAGGAAGGCTGTTTTTAAAAGATTTTTATACTGTCTTTTGTATTATGAACTCAATAAGGCAATAAACACAGACATTTCAATATACAAAAAAAAGCAGGAAAAGAGGATTGTATTTGAAACTGTGACCTTCTATTGTGTAAAATGTGACTTCTTAAATGTATGTGAAATTTAACATGATAGTAACAAAATTACTTGAACTTCCATATATTATTTTAAATGTTTCATTAACTCTCTTTTTTCCCCCATCACTATCATGTAACAAATAGCTGCTATGGAATTGAAAACCAAGACAGAAAGCAAGATAGTGAGTTACCTTGGCTCCCTTCCAAGCAGTCAATGAGCATTTATTAAGTACCTACTTTATGCCAAGCTAGACTCTGAGGAGCCAAGTGCAAAGGATGAAAGAATCCATACAGTCAAGGAATTTAGATTCTAACCAAGAATTCTAATCCTGGATCCTAGAGAAACCACAGTGCAGAATAATGAAAGGGATGGCAGGTGGGACTGCTGAGTCACCTTGGAAAGACTGTCAGAATGGGAGAGGTGCCACAGGACTTTAGAAAGACAGATGTCTCCGTTTTCAAAAAACAAAGAACAGTCCGAAAGCTACAGGCTAGTGGGTCTGACTTTAATTCCTAGCAATATTCTTGAATATATTGTTTAAGGGATAGCTTGTAAACACCTAGCACTGGAGGGAGTGGTCATTAGGAGTGGACGTCTCTTCATGAGGAGGGTGGTGCCAGTCTAACCTGGCTTCTTTTGGCTAGTCAGGGGTAGGGAATCTGCGGCCTCGAGGCCACATGTGGCCCAACTAGATTAATAGACTGTTGTATTCATCATAATACACATAGGTTACTGTTATTTCTTTGTTTATTCTTGATGAATTTTGAAAATAGAAGTAACAAAAAGCACAGATAGGTTGATTAACAGAGTGCATTAGAGATGGGATACCTAGAATTCAGTGAAACATTTGACAAAATATCCTATGTGTGTTTGTGGACAAGTAGGAGATGTGACAGGGAGGTAGTGCAATGGGTAGAGTCTTGGCCTTGCAATCAGAGAGACTCATCTTCTTGAGTTCAAATTTGATCTTAGTAATTATGTGACCCTGGGCAAATCACTTCACCCAGTTTGCCTCAGTTTCCTCATCTGTAAAATGAGCTAGAGAAGGAAATGGCAAACCACTCCAGTGTCTTTGCCAAACCCCCCCCCCAACACCAAAACAACAAAATGGGGTCACGAAGGATCATTCATGACTCAAACGACTCAATAACAGGAAATACAGGCTAGGTAGTGGTATCATTAGGAGCAACCGAAATTAACCAAAGCCAAAGAGAAGTCATTAACAGCCTGGTGGGAGTTTAGAAGTAGATCATACATGCAATTCTCCATCTAGAGATCTTTTTTTGGTCCCATGATGTTTAATGTTATGTAGCAATGATTTACATGAAGGTTTAGTCCTCTGAATCCTTTAAAATCTCTTCTCAGATCTGAGGCAGCTAGATGGTACAGTGGATAAAATGTTGGGCTTGTAGTCAGAAAGTCTTGAGTTCAAAAGACACAATCTATATGACCCCAGCAAGTCACTTAGCCTGTCTCAATTTCCTTATCAGCAAAAATGGGTGTAATAATTGCCTCTACCTCCTAGCTGTTGTAAGAATTCAGTGAGATTACTGAGTTTAGGTAATTACCTAGATCAGGACCACATGTGGCCCTCCAGGTCCTCAAGTGCAGCCCTTTGACTGAATCCACACTTCACAGAACAAATCCTTTTGAGGATAGAAGTGACCTAGATAAACCACTTTGTAAATCTTAACGCACAATGTAAAAATACTAACTATTAGTTGGAGTGTTTTTTATCAAATTTTCAGATGAATGGATGCTAGCAGGAATGGCTACTGTCATTCTCTGGATGACAGAATCATGATCCTAAAAGGTCACATCAGGCTAGCATGAAATTGTTGTTGAGTCATGTCTGACTCTTCATGATCCCATTTGGGTCTTTTTTGGCAAAGATCCTGGAGTGGTTTGCCATTTCCTTCTCTAGCTCATTTGACAGACAAGGAAACTGAGGCAAACAGGGTTAAGTGACTTGCCTAGGGTCACAAAAGACAGTAAGTTCCTGAGGTCATATTTGGACTCAGCTTCTCCTGACTGGTGCTCTATCCAGTAAGTCACCTAGCTGCCCCAGGATGAAATTTGATAAGGATAAATGTAAAATTCTACACTTGAGTTCAAAAAGTCAACTTCTCAAGAACAGCATGGAGAAAACATGACTCGACAGCTTGGGTGAAAGAACTCTGGGAATTTTTTTTTTGGATTATAAGTTTAACGTAAGCTAATACTGAGATATGAAGACAAAAAGTGTTAATGCAATTTTCAGCTGCCTTAACAGAGGCATAGTGTTCGGGAAGAGGGGAAAGCAGGTGACGGCTGTCAAATATTTGAAGATTTGCCATGTGGAAGAGGGATTTGATTTGTTCTTCTTTCAGCACAGATTGATTATATCCTTCCTTTACTCATTAAACTCCAGTGGTTCTCCATTGACTACAATAAAATGTCAATTTCTTGGTTTGGCTTTTAAGCCCATTATAACCTGCCCCCAATCTGTCTTTCCAACCTCATAATAAATTATTCCCCTTCTTGCACTATATGGTCTAGACCAGGGGTCTTTTCAGTGTTTCTCCCACAGATTGGGGCTAAGGAAAGCCCTAGAACCTTGAGAGTAGTGAGCAGTCACCAATCTGAGCACATCAACCTACAAGGCCAAGTGTAAGTCAGGGGAGTGAACTCCAGAAGGGGCAATACCCATGCATGTACATCTAATTTATCCTGAATAGAATCTAAGCTCCTTGAATGCAGCATTATTTCACTTTTCCCCCCTTTATGTTCCCCAGTGCCTAACATAGTGTTTGGCACACAGTAGGTATTTAATAAATACTTATTGATTAAATGACTGATTGCAAAAGTCAGGGTAAGGCAAAGCGACCAGGAGTTTTAGAGAGGCAGATTTTGGCTAGATAGAAGGAAAACCTTCCAAAATAATTAATAGTGCTGGATTTAAAATCAGAAGACCTAGGTACAAATACCAGATCTGCCACCAATTACCTGTTTTTTCTGGGGAAAGTCATTTCACCTGTATGAGAGCCT